TCCCCCCCCCCCCCCCTCCCAGTAACCTGCTTGATTTTCATGAGAAGTGATGTTTAATTAACATTGCTGCACAGCCAGAGAGGAAACTACATTAATTGATTTCCTGTGTGTTAGAACTGATTAGTTGCAAGAAAAAAAACGTATTTTAATTGGATTTTCAAAAACAAAATTCCATTTCAAAATAGAACTGTATTTAACTGCAAAATGCACCTTTATTGGGTCTATTTAGGGTGAAGATCTAATGGTCTGGAATTAGTTCATTAAGGTTAGACTTTTGCATTGAACGATCATTGTCAAAATCAATCTGCCTATATCATGTTAATTAGTAACTTCAAGTCGATAAAAATTAATTTTATTTAAATTTGCTAAGACAACATAATTGTCAACGATTTGATCGGATTGAATGAAATAACCTTACTCTATTCCCATTTCTATACAACTTTCTAGGCAATATAAATTTGCGCAAATGTATACACATTTGCTCCATTTATTAAGTGTGAAGTACCTTCCTATTAAAATTCCCCGCAAATTTGAAAATTGGCTCAAGTATTAAGTAACTAGGAATCATTTTAAAAGCTCGTATTTATACCAAATCAATAGGCAATGAAACGTGGGCAACCAAATTTTTGAAGGTTAAGCTCATTATCTCCTTTGGTTATTAGGATAATAATTTATGTCAAATGGCAGGCGTTTTGATAGTTATCACTACCCCTTTAGCTGACTTCGGGCTTCAGAGAGGGGAGGAACCTCAAAGTGGGGGAACAAAAGAGTGTTTTAAAGATGAAAAAGAGACAGACACAAAGGTAGAAAAAAGGTGAGGTGAGTGCTGTGAAAGTAGTCGAATATGGCATACAGTGGGGTCATGGCAGTTTGAAGTCAGAAGTCAGCTGCCGGTTAATAGACTTTTTTGCCGTATGAGAATACGTTGCCCAGGTTGCACCACGTGGGGGTAAGTCTACCACACACCCCGCATTACAAACCTAATAACTTCTGAGGCCATTCATAGAAAGCTTTAAACACCCATAAGAACCCGTGGCTGATAGTAGTTTCTACCTCCATAAATAGCAGTTCCTAAGGTAGAGTAACATTATTTATGTAGGAGGAAGTTCTTAGTATAAAAACAACGAAGAGGATTCAGAAGAGGGAAATGAAGTTGTGAGACATGGAGCTGTGAGGGAGATGTGGAAGTCGGTGAAATGTCTCTGGGAGACGAAGACTGGCTAAACAAAAAACTTTTAGAGCTCATTGAACAACAGCTTAATGAGTTTATCCCGCTAATTGGAATAAACCACTTGGGGATACCCGATGATCCTCTTCCGGAAATTTGATGTCATGTAGACAAAACGGAAATGTTGGGCCCAAATAGGTTTACTTGAAACTTTACTGCATTACCAATATCAAAATTCGCTAATATTTGAACTTTTTTCTCATCATTTCCAAATACAGATTAAGATCGACCCTCCAGAATTCCAGTTGAATAGGGTCCTTCAGTACTATCATGAGAATTATTTATTTATTCATATCAAATGACAGACGTTTTTTTAGTTATCATTGGCCCTTTAGTTGACTTCAGGCTTCAGGGAGGGGAAGGAATATCAAATTGAAAAAAGTCGAGGGGGGGGGGACAGAAGAGTGTTTCAAAGATGTAAGAGACAAACACAAAGGTAGAACAAAGGCGAGGTGAGTACTGTGAAAATAGTCGAATATGGCATAGAGTGAGGTGATGGTAGTTTGAAGTCAGAAGTCAACTGCCGATTAATAGACTTTTTGTCGTATGAGCATATGTTGCCCAGTGTGCACCACGTGGATGTAAGTCTATCGCACACCCCACTATCATGAGAAATGAATTGTTCTTCACTTTTAATAGGCGAGGATTGCAAATAAAATTTTATATCATCTTTCGTGAAATTTTAACTTCCTGGCCTTACCCATTTTTCCCCAATTAGGCAACATAATGCCACTTTCTCAATTTCAATTCATCTTGCCATTGCCTGCATATAAATTGTTTCATTGTGATGGAATTTAATTCTCCAATATGCTTGGCAGAAACGAACTCGAAGGAATTAACAAATTCCATGGCGCCACTGGCCACTCGTCAGCAGCAGCAGAGAAACTGCACCATCTATTTAATTTACACGCCAAGGCGAGGGTAGTAGTAGTAGTAGTAGAAGTAGTGGTAGTAGTAGATTGAAGTAATTCGTTCTTAATCGCGAATAGATAGTCCGTTTGCATGATACTTGTTAACCGGCGCCAATTCTATTCACTTCAACCTCTTATTCCCCTAAGTCCCAACTGTCCACCCCCCCC